ATCAGGGGACAATGACATGTGGGTGATGGGACTGAGACATTGGGGATGGTGGGAGTGGGACATGGGGATGGTGGGAGTGGGACGGGGCTTGGCCCAGGGATCTGCTGGAAAGATGGACCAGGGAGGGAAACGCCTGCAGTGCCCAAAGCAGGGGCAGGAGCTGCAGGAGTTGTGGTTTTGGGGAGTCTGGGGAGAAGGGCAGGGAGGGGCTCACGCTGTGCCACAGTGGGGTCCCACCTTGGTTGATATCAAGATGGGAGAAGCATTTCCAGCAGGATTTTAAACACCTCGGGCTCTTTTCACCCTTTTCCATCCTCCCAGTTCCCTGGGAAGGGGGCAAATCCACAGGAGCAGCCCTGACCCGCCGAAGCTGGGCCACTTGGGGAAAGATCTGTGAGTACTCAACAAATGTTTAAATATGTATAATCATTTATAAATACATATTTAACTAAAACAATTTTTTARAAGTTAAAAATATTGCCATGGTAAGCAGGTGTGCTTTTTAGCTAAAACACCCAGCRCTGCCACTTTTGCTTTATTGSCTTTGTCCCCTGTTGTCGTTCATTAAATTTTTCAAATTCTAACGCAAAAATAAGCTTTGTGTCTCACAGGGGGGATGTGGCAGGAAGACGTGCAGGCTGGCACATCGCACATTTTCTTAGAAGGAGCAGAAAAACTCCCAAACCAGCAAAAAATTCCCCTTTTGCTTCCTTGGAAAGGGCACAGAAACCACAGCAGGGCCTGTACACCCCGTGGGTGCCRGTGGCTGTGTCTTTGCAGGGATTTTTTCACCGGGACCAAAACTGATGGTGGGGCAGCAGCGGGTGAGGAGGGAGCCGCTGTCCCCGCAGGTGCTCGGGTGTCGGTGTCACCCGCGGGGACGGGACATGCACTCCTGGCTCGGCTGCTTTCCCAGAAGCGTCCCAGGTCCTGCCCGTGTTCCTGGAGCTGCTGGCCCGTGGCCTGGCCTGTGCCATACAAGGGACAGGGAGCACGTGCCATGCTGGTGACTGTTCCCATGTCCCAGGAACGGCTGTCACCTCTGCATGGAGCCCAAAAGCGGAGCGGAGCAAACACAGGGCACCGTTCCCCTGCCAGGGAGGAGGCGGGTGCGGGGCAGGGCTGGGGGGCTGCCAGGGACCCTGGGGAATCTGGCCCCAGAGGCGTCAGCTGTCCAGGGAAAACAGAACAAACAAAAAGCTCATCGCAGAGCTTGGAAAGAGTCCACTGCCTGCATGGGGATGAGGGACGGAGGCGCTGCCAAGGTCTGGGGGGTGGGAACTGTGGCAGAGCTGTGTGGGGACATATCCTGTGCCACCTGTGCTCCTCCTTCCCCAGCTCCAAAGGTGCGAGGGGAGCAAGCACAGAATGAGGCAGCACCTCCTGGGGATGGGAAGGCTGCCCATGGCCCCACAGCCCCTTCAGAGGGGCCCCACGCTGCCTCTGTGCCCAGAGCTGGAGGGGCAGGGCAGGGTAAGGACATCCTTGTGTCACAGCACAGCCCCAGCAATACTCCCAGCAGTGACATCCCCATCCTCACCCAGGGGGACGTGGCTCTGGCACAGACCCCACGGACACACAGCCACCAGTGCCACAGGATTCCCCAGCCCCTGCTCCCCCTYGGCTTCTGTGCAAAGGCTGCCCCCACTCCCAGCTTCCCACTTTGAGCAAACCCTAAAACGACCTGTGACGAATGCCCTGGACTCTTCCACCAAAGCAGTGATGGTCTACTCTGGGATCCAGGGCAGGAAAAGGCCAGAGCCAGGCCAAGAAATCTGGGAAACCCACAAAGGACCCCAGAAGCATGGGTGCTGGTGAGCCCTGAACCAATTGTGGGATCAGTGTATGGAGAGAGGGTGGCTTTTCCTTATTTATTTTCCTTTGGATGAGTCCAATTTGAGATTTGAATTCCCCCTAATCTGCAGCTGGACTGCACATCTGTGATCTCCTCTGGAGCTGGGACACATCTCAAGRTCTGGATTTCTTTCCTGAGGGATCCTTCCCCACCCAGGGGGGAGAGACCCTTACTCATAACAGCTCTGTGGTGAGTTCCTGACACCACTCTGGATTAACACCAATGAAAMCCATCAGTTAATTCCTTCAGACATAAACCATTGTCCAAATCTGAGACTAGGACTGGACCTGGCTGTGCCTAAGGTCCATCAGGAGTTCAGGAAGCAGGGGRGTGTTCTCTGAGCCTTGTGCTCAGCAGWAGGGTCTCTCATACCCTTTTGCACCTTCAGGCTCAGTGTGAATCATTCCAGTTCCATTTCAATTCGATTTTCCTTAGTCTTGTACATCCATGTAGGAAGTACTGGGGGGAACCTCGCCATTGTACTTAAATTACACTTTCATAAATTCGTATTAAAATAACTTCTGCCAACAGCATTGATTGTGACTATTTGAGCGACCCTAAATCACTCATCTGTGACAAATTAATGTCATTGGCAGGATCCTAAATCCRGATTCATGGCRGAATTGAGGCCCTGAAGATSGTGAGCTGCTCAGGAGCCCAGCAGRGGAGRCCCAGGGCGAGCCACGGCTTCCTGGGAACAGCAGGRAAGGAGCCTTTCCCTCGGAACATACGGCAGCCGCAGCCCCCTCGGTGCYGCCAGCCCGTGCCTGCTCCAGCTCCGGGGCAGGTGCCATCTGTGCTTTTTGGGAAGGGACCAGCCCCGCAGAGGGGAGCCCCAGGCACGATACCCGCTCAGCTCAGGCCCTGCAGTGCAGATCTGCAAAGCTGTTCTCTGTTCTCTCAGCAAAGCCTTGGTGCTGCCTCTGCACCTCACCAGAGTGCCTGGGGAGATGARCGATGGAAGGACCGAGGGGTCCTGGGCACGACTGAACACCCTCACCAGGCTGGGTTCAGCTTGGGGGGCTCMATTTGGGGTGCTCAGTCCTGGGAACTCAGCTCAGGGGGCTCAGTTTGGGGTGCTCAGCTCTGGCAATTCAACCCTGGGAGCTTAGTTTGGGGTGCTTAGCATTGAGAACTCAGCACTGGGAGCTGAGTTTGGGGTTTCAGCTCTGGGGGCTCAGTCTGGAGGGCTCAGCATTGGGAAATCAGCTTGGGGTGCTTAACCTGAAGGGCTCAGCTTGGGGGGACTCAGTTTGGGGTGGTCAGCACTGGAGGATCAGCACTAGGAGGTCAGTTTGGGGTAGTCAGCATTGGGGCTCAGTTCTGGAGGCTCAGTTTGGGGTGCTCAGTCCTCAGGGCTGTTTGGGATGCTCAGTCCTGGGGGCTCAGTTCTGGAGGCTCAGCTTGGGATGCTTAACCTGAAGGGCTCAGCTCTGGGGGGACTCAGTTTGGGGTGCTCAGCACTGGGGGATCAGCACTAGGGGGTCAGTTTGGGGTAGTCAGCACTGGGGCTCAGCTCTGGAGGCTCAGTTCGGGGTGCTCAGTCCTCAGGGCTCAGTTTGGGGAGCTCAATACTAGGGCTCAGCTTGGGGTGCTCAGCACTGGGGGGCCAGCCCTGGGGCCTCAGCACTAGGGGATCAGTTTGGGGTAGTCAGCACTGGGGCTCAGCTCTGGAGGCTCAGTTTTGGGTGCTCAGTCCTCGGGCTCAGTTTGGGAGGCTCAGTACTAGGGCTCAGCTCTGGGGGCTCACTTTAGGGTACTCAGCACTGGGTGCCCAGCCCTGGGGGCTCAGTTTGGGGTACTCAGCACTGGGTGCTCAGCCCTGGGGGCTCCGTTTGGGGTGCTCCCAGCTGCCTGCTCCCTGCAGCACTCGCAGCTGCAGCTCAGGAGCGAGTAAACACGAGATGAAAGCCTGAGGAGATGAAAGCGGGGCTGGGGCTGCCGGGGCAGGGGCAGAGGCAGAGCGGGGCTGGGCTGCGGCTCCACAGACCTGTCTGGGCAACATCCTGCACTGCCGGGCGTGGGGGCCGGGCTCAGCCACCTCCAGCCCTGCCACATCTCCCACAAAGTCGATTCTTCTCCTCCTCCGCCTCCTCCGGTGGCTCAGCYGTCTCACGTGAGAGCAGGCAGGTCTTTCCCCCCAAAAGGAAGGGGGSCAGAGTTGTTTGGGTGCCACACTGAGCCCCGGACTCAGCACCCACAGCATTCCAGGGGGTGTGAAAAGGGAAGCCGAGGAACAGCAGCAGAACTGCCCTCCCGGCTCTGGGAGCTGCCCCGGCACYGCTCCCCACCCACCTGCAGCCCCAGCAGGGCTCAGGGCCTTGCAGGTGTCCTGGTTTCAGCTGGGATAYAGCCAGTTCTCTCCCCAGCAGCCGGTACAGGGCCGTGTTTGGGCTTTGGGATGATTAGGATGAGAATAACTCTGATAACACACCGATGTTTGGGTGTTGCTGAGYGCTRCTTACCCTAAGCCAAGGACTTTGTGTGTCCCGTGCTCTGCCAGCAAGGAGGGGCACAAAAACTGRGGAGAGCAGGGCTGGGACAGCTGACCAGAGGGATATTCCACACCAAGGAACAGCATGTTCTCTGGYTGGGCTGCACCCACAAACACTGGGAGAGGGGCTGGAGGGTGGTCCCAGCACATCCAGCATGCAGGGGAACWGGCAGGAGCTGCTACTGCAGGCAGGGAACAGGAAGAACCACAGCTGGGGAGCCCCTCACTCCCCTCCTGGCCAGGAAAACAATGTGCATACCCCAAMTGCAGAGTTTATCCCAATTGAGGCACCAACCTCAGTGGCTGCACCCCGGGCTCCTTCCCATGGCAACAGAGCCTCTTGGGGAGCTGGAGTCCCTCTCCCCTGCCCACTTCCACTCAGATCTGAGCCAGAACAGCTCGGGGACAAGGACATTGCAGACACAAGTCAGGACAACCCCGGGCTGCTGGTCAGGCCCCAGAGCCTCGGGAACAACCCGGACCTGGCACCTGGAGAGCAGGAGGAACCCAAGCACCCTGCCAGGATCCACGCCAGGAGCACACACCCAGCTCTGCAGCGCTATCCCYGAGGAGCCCAACCAGCCCGTGTTTGTTTTGCTGATGGGAAGGCTCTGACGAACGTGCAGTCACGAGACKCTCGGCGGCGGCGTGTGCTGTGTAAATACAACATAATTTATTGGTTCCATTGCAGAGCACGAGTGGTATTTGTACGAGTGTCCTAACGGCAGGACGAGAAACGAGAGTCACGTATGTACAGATTGCAGGGCACGGGAATGCTTTGTAAGGAACAAGTGGTTAATGGTGCAGTTTGGTCACTCTCTGCTCCCCAGATCCTAGGTAGAGCCACTACCTACCTGGGGGTGCTGCCAAGCTCTCCTTGTGCAAGCAGCAGGCAAGGCTGGGGGGCTCTGGCTGCAGAGCAGAGATTTTGGTCCCAGATGTGCACAGCTGGGCAGGGAGCAGGCTCCGTACCCCAGCGGGATGTGGTCCCAGCAGGGTCAGTGTACCACGAGGGATGAGGAGGGAGGAGAATCCTCCATTCCTGTCCCAGTGCTCACTCTCTGCTGGCTCCCACAAGGGGCTGCCAGTGTGGATCCGTGTCCCTGTGGGGACAGTGCTGAGCCACAGCTGGGCTGGGTGTGCAGAGCTCAGCTCAGGGCTGGGCTGAGACACAAGGACAGATTCCCATTTCAACAGCAGCAGGCATGGGACAAACTTCAGTGCCAGCTGGTTCAGAGGGATCACACCAGAATCAGCCCTCAGGGACAGGTGGGCACAGAGCAGCTCTGCCCCAAACCTGGACTCACAGCCCGTGGAAGAGGCACTGGGGGATCCACATCCACCAGCAATTCCTCCCCATCCCGTACCCTGCTGCCTCCAGAGGTGGGAAATGTGTATCCCAAGGGAAGTACCGCTTCCATGGCAGCCCCAGCTCCACGACACAGCTCTGTCTGAAGTGTCTGGCTCAGCTCACTTGAGGCACGGGGAAGAAGCAGCTCAGGGCAGCTCTTCCCCTCTCCAAGAGCCAAYATTCCCATCAGGTGGCCCACAAAATATTTTCTTTCTTTTTTATAGAAATTACTATAAAAAACTAGTTAATCTAGAGCATCTTTAAAAAAATATTCCTGCAGTATCACAGTTTTACATTGAAACTCATTAAAAATATATAATTTCTTAAACGAAACGTCTCTGTTCTCCCCTTGAATCATGTCTCCAACATGGGATTGGGGCTCGGAGTCCTCGGAAAAGGGGCCGAGGTGGGAGCAGGAAGATCTGAGCTCAGTGGCACATCCGGGAGGTCATTTCCTTCTGTCAAAGGGACAGAGAAGACAAGGGACTGTGAAGGAGGATCCAAGCTCCCAGGTGAGGGTGTGGATGAAAAACCCTCGTGGTTAGGTGTCAATACCCTCCTCAGGCACAGGTGACACTGCTGCCCACAGCTCCAGTGTGAACAGGGCCATGCTCCCCCCATTCCCATCCCCAGGACATCCCGGTCACATCCTGACTCCCAGGTTCCTGACATCACACTGCAAGGACAGCTGGTCCTGAATTTGGGTAATCAGCTCTGGAGGAGAATCTCAGAACCCTTAGGGTTGGGCAAGACTCCCAAGGTCAAGGAATCCAACATTACCSCAGCACTGCTGTGCCACCCATAAACCATGTCCCCAGCTGTCACATCCACATGTTTTTTGAGCACTTGCAGGGATGATGACTCCAACACTGCCCTGGGCAGACCCTTCCAGTACCTGTCACACCCTTTCAGTGAAGACATTTTCCCAAATATCCAATCTAAACCTGCCCTGGCACAGCTTGAGGCTGTTTCCTCTTGCCCCTTGTTACCTGGGACAAAACTGAGCCCCCCCTGCTGTCCCCTCCTATCAGGGAGTTGGGCAGAGCCACAAGATCCCCCCTGATCCCCCTTTGCTCCAGGCTGAGCCCCTTTCCCAGCTCCCTCAGTCTCTCCTGGTGCTCCAGACCCCTCCCCAGCTCCATTCCATTCCCTTCCCTGGACACCCTCCAGCCCTCCATGTCTTTACTGGAGTGAGGGACCCCAAACTGACCCCAGGATTTGAGGTGGGGCCTTCTGAGAAGGTTCCAGAGCCTTCTGTGACTCCCCCACCCCTGTGCTGGCCACAGACCCCAACAGCCCCACGTGCAGCTGGGCCCAGGCAGGCACTCACCAGGGGCTCCAGCTCCTTGGTGTCTATGAGATTGAATTCTTTCACAAAGTAGTAAAAGTGCTTGTAGCAGGTGTTGACGTGGGCCTCRGAGCCCATCTGGGTGATCCTGTCGAAGTGGTGGATGTAGACGTGGACAAAGACCCGGAAGAGCCTGGAGAGAATCTTCTTCACCACTGGGAGGAAGTTCTTGGGGAAGGGAGTACCTGGGAGGRAAGAGTGGCCATGAGAAACCTTCGGTCAAGTTAAAACTGGTTGCTTGGGGCTAAAATAAATTGGTAAAATGGACAGATTGAGGCAAAAGTGCTTCTGACCCTGATAAACTTCCAGCTTCCCTCTCCTTCTTCCTTTCCTTTGGATCAGATTTTTCAAAGCACAGATTTTTTAAGTGACTGAGTGATGCACTGCTGTGACTGAAAGCAGAGCCCACATTCTCAGCAGTTGTTTCAGTCAGTTTTCTTCTACTCCTGTTTGATRTATTTATATAAACAGTGCAAAACACCAGATACAACCAAGCAACTTCCCAAAGGAAAGGGCCGGTGCTGTTAACTCCCCACAGCTATCCCTTGTTTTGGTACATCTTCAGCTCTTGCGTTAAAAATTAAAGCTGTTAAGGTCCTCTTTGAAGGCCCCACGTCTGTGTTTGGCTGGGCCCCTGCAGCAGGGCAGTCTGGCCACACAGCCACCTCCATGGGATATCAGGGTGTAAAGTTCACACCGTTTTGGAGGAACAAGTTCAACCCTTTCCTTGYTCTGCCAGAGCTGCAGTGTTTCAGTCAGTGTTAAAGGATCTGCTAAAAGCTGAGCTGAAGGCAATAACAACTGCACAAACCCCAAACCACAGCCCTYGTGCTGTCGTAAGCTCATCCTGCAGCCCAGAACAGAACCACAGCCCCAGTGTGGTCTCCTGAGAGCTGCAGCAGAGCCCGTGCAGCACCAGGAGGAAAGGCTGGGGAGGGTTTGGTGCTTCAGCTGTCTCAAWACTGGCTCCCCTCCCCTCTCTGCCCACCCCAAACCAGGTTTAAGAAGTGTTTTGGCACAGTGGAGGATCCCTGTGGATGCTCAAGTGGCAGATGTGCCCCAAATAGAGGCCAACGGCATCCCATCAGAGCTCCAAAGGGATGAACGTGCGGCAGGAGGGAGGGAGGGAGGAAGCTCTGCTGCACTTGTCTCCTGCATCCTAGGAGATGGAAGTTCTGCACAGGCTTGGTTATATTTACCTGATTGTTTAGAGACTAAATTCTCCCATCTTCATCACAAAATAAAACAAAACCCAACAATCTCATCCCAAATCTGCATTTGGATATGGAGATTGAAGTGTCTTAGGCCAAATCCCCGTTTCCATGGCCCTGGCAGTAGATGAAACATGGCCCTTCCCCCCGCCATGTGCCAGCATCCCCACCCCTCAGGTGGCACAGAGGCAGCCAGTGTGGCCTCTGATGACACAGGGGGTGATCATGGCATGTGGCACCACCCCGAGGTGACACAGAGCTGTGCCTCAGACCTGGGCTGGCCATCAGCTCCCAGAGAGCCACCCTGCACGCAGCATAGCCACCTCAGAGACTCACTGCTCTAAGGGCAACCTCCTGTTCCACTGCCTCCAGGGATCCATGGCTCCCACTGGGATCTGACACAGCCCTGGCTATTTTAGCACTGCAGAAGAGCTGCAAAGGGCTCAGGGCACCGCTCACCTCTGAGCAGCACAGAAACAGCTCTGCTACAGGGGTCAGCTGTGCTGCAGCATCTCCTGGAACAGCAAAGGGGCTCCAGGAGAAGGTTCTGTGCTCACCTCCCTCCCTAGAGCCCCAGCTGGAACCCAAACTCACCGACATTGGTGGGGAAGATGTCCTCGTTGTTGATCTGCACCTCGATCCAGTCCATGAGCAGGTTCATGTACTGGGGAGCTGACAGGGCCGTGGGTTTGCGGTACTTGTGCTCGTCCTGCCACCGGTACTCGTACTTGGGGCCCCCCGACATGACGGGGCACGACTGCTCYGTGCAATAGTCACTGATGGTGCCGTAGATGAGGTTGATGCGGTTGAAGAAGTCCACGACGTGCACGGCCACCCAGTCGTTCTGCTCCTCGCCCGGYGGCAGCTGCACGGCCACCTTCAAGTCCAGGCCGGCGTTGAGCGAGGCCTGGGCCTTCTTGTGCAGCTCAAAGCGCTGAGTGCCCGGCTCGAACTTGCGCTTGGGCCGGAAGGTTTTGTCTTTATTGAACACTTGCTTTAGAGCGTGGGACATTTTCCTTCTCTCGTCTCTTCCAGGCCCGCAGTGGTGACAGCCGGAGGCGCGGCCACTTCCCGGAGCAGGGCTGGGGAGACTCTGATCTTCACAGAAAGCTCCCTCTGCTCATCTGGTCCTGATCTGCAACACAGCACAGAAGGGCAGCGATTAGGAGCAGCTCTCTCAACAGGAAACCTTGTCTAAATCCCATAGGAAGAGATCTGGGATGCCATCTGGGCTCTTGCCCCACATCTGAGAAGGGGGGGAGCCCACAGCAGCTTTCCTTCCTCCCCCTTCCCTTCCCTTCYCCAGCTGGAGCAGAGAGGAAGCTYGGCTGGGGGGTGACCTGGGCAGAACGGAGTCACCTCCTGACCTGTTCCATGTGGGAATGAAAGAACAGACCCCACAGCCACAGGGTCTGCCACTCACCCCAACACTGCCACACCGTGAGACCCCAACCCTGCAGAAACTCCACCACCTGCTTTGGCAACAAAGAAAGGTAAAACCAGCTGGGTTTCACCCAGATCCTGTTTTTCACTTGTGCATCCCCCCTTTGGGAGCAAGGCTGGGTCATGTCAGCCCACAACACAGCTCAGAGCTGCTGCCAGACACCCCCCACCAAAGCAGCCACTGAAAGTGAGAGACAGGAACCAAGGGGCGGAGGGGAACGAGAAGAAGAAGTCACAGCTCAGGAACCCGGAAAGCAAATATCCTGAAATAACACCAGCCCTGAGAGCAGCCACAGCCTCTTCTGCAGGTGAACACGGACCATAAAAATATCTCTCATTTCAGTTTACAAATTGAAAAGTGGAAGATGAGGGAAAGCTCATCTTCCTCTTCCAGCCTGCAGAAAAGAATCAGCTCCAAGGGTGAGAYGCAAGTTGAGATCTGAAGGGATGCTGACGAGAAACACAGCTCTGTTTATCTGTAGCTAATTATACCTCCTTTGTTCCCATATCCAGCCCCTCGCAGAATTTGTGTCAGGCTGCTCTTTGATGGAAGCTTAAGGCAGAAAGCTTTGTGWACCAAAAATATTATTTTACATGTGCTGGACAGAGAAATGAATAAAGTAACAAAAATTAAGCCGATGCCTTAAATAGCATAAATAATTTTGCATAATTTCATAAGCAAGCAAGCAAAAAAAAAAAACCCTTTCCCAAACAGAATCCGCTTGGATTTACATGAGGCCACAGTGTTGTTCCAATAGGTAAATAGTGTCCTCAGATGCTGGCAAGCACATCCCAAACTCAAGGTCACGACTACCGCGGCTGCAATCGAGCCCRTCTCCAGCAGATGCTGCAGTGCTAATCAGCAGTTCTTCTCTGGAGAAAGATTAAAAAGCTTTAAAGCCAAGGCCTCTTGTTTCCTTATTTAATTACAGTGAGGAAGAAACCCCAAACCACTCCAGTTCACCCCACTAAGAACAGACTCAACATTTCCTGCGGGAATGGGCTCAGTAACCTCTTCCGGGCAGGAGMTGAGAGATCCCGACTCCAACATGGGCTGTGACGAGTTGGGAGAAACCCTCAAAGCATTTTAATGTGGTTCAGTGAGATCCACCCTGGTCTGTGGGGTGAATGCACAGCAKATATTTCATCACAGAATGGTTTGAGGTGGAAGGGACCTTAAAGACCATCCAGTTCCAATCCCCTGCCATGGGCAGGGACACTTTCCACAAGACCAGGTTGCTTCAAGCCCCATCCAACCTGGCCATCCTGCTGCCAAAACAGCTGCTGCGACCCTGTGAGCCACCTCGGGGGAGGAAAACCCAGCACAAACCCCTGGCAGACGTGTCCTTTGGAGCGTGATCCCGCCCCAGACGTGGCAGAAGAAGAAGTGAAGGGCGTGGAGGGACAGCTGAGCAGTGCTGGTTACCGGGAGCTGTGTCACAGCCTGGCCACACCCTGCAGCGGCACCGGAAGCTCCAGGGACTGCGCCCACCCCGGAGCTGAGGCACAGTCCCCACGGAATCAGCAATGTGGGCAGCAGGTGCTGAGGCTGCTGCTGCTTCCAGCAGAAAATCCAGGGAAGCACTTGCATGCAATGAGTTGCCTGCACTGGAGATGGAGGAAAACACGTCCTTTCACACAAGAAACCACAAAGCAGTGGCAGCACCGCCCTCCACACACTCCCCAGAGCACCACAGCATCCCTGGTGCAGTGTGACTCCATCCCTGCTGGTGGATCTGGGGGATCTGCACTGCAGGGCCTGGGAGGGATGAGGACGGGGTAAAACCCAACCGTAAAACTGAACATTCCCTGGCTTTGGCCACACACATCAAGGAACAAACACTTGGATACTGAGCATTTTTCTCATTTGAGCAGGATGGAGAGAGTTTTTATGGAATCCCAGAATATCCTGAGTCAGAAGGGCTCACAAGGACCATCAGTCCAACCCTGGCCCTGCCCAGACCCCCCAACARCCCCACCCTGTTCATCCCTGGCAGCGCTGTCCAAACGCTCCTGCAGCTCTGGCAGCCTCGGGGCCGGGACCATTCCCTGGGGAGCCTGGGCAGTGCCAGCACCCTCTGGGGACAGAAGAACCTTTCCCTGAGATCCATCCCAA